TGTGAGTTAAACATTTACCTCAAGTAGCCACACGCCCTGGAGAGAACAATCATGGGAGAAGGAAGGGCTGCTTATGCACAGGGAGACAGCTCAGGGTGCAGGAGAGTATGGAGGGATGGACACTGGGAAGAGGTAACTATGGGGAAGAAGTGGGAAGGGAGCTGTTGCACTGTAAACTGTGGTCAATGACATGAGACAAAGTATATGTGAACTGCTGTATGGACAGAATTCACTCTGTAAATCTTCACCCAAATCACAATAAATAAAATAAAATTAAAAAAAAAAAAAAAAAAAGAGCATGTACACAGCATGCAGTAAGCGCTCAGCCCATATTAGCTTATCCCTGTCCCTTGGTAGAAGTTACGAATCCTGTATGGGCTGTCTGGAGCACGTCCTCAGCACTGGGTATCATGTGGAATGTTCTACATGTATTTACATGTGCTATGCAGTCCTCAAAGCCCTACTTTACAGATGAGAAAAGGATGCTCACAAAGCAATTTGTCTATGGTCACACCACTAGTAACTGTCAGTACTGGATTCACCTGTGAAAGGATCAACAGGCCAGTGCTGTTTAACAGCTTTTCACATAGATTACCTCTGCCGAGTCTCTCCCCAGCACCCTGGAGGTTTGGTAGGACTTTGTACCCTGTTTTACAAGAAAAGGCACTTGGATTCAGGAAGGGTAAGTAACCTATCTGAGATCACAGAGCCAGAAATGGGGAGAAGCCCAGACTTAACCAGGGCTCTTTGCACTAAGACCTCTGGAGGGTGAGGAGAGGCTTCAATGCAGGTGCACAAAGTCCCAGATCCAACCTTCTCCTCAGCTTCTCCAGCTAAGCCCCCTGCTATACTTACTTAATGATTGGGTTCTCAAACTGCTTGGCACACCGCCACTGCCGGATGCAGGACAAGCAGTACGTATGATTGCAGTTGGAGAGAATCCCGAATCTCCTCTCAGAAGCAGATGACTTCTCAAGGACCACCTCCATGCAGATGCTACACACTTTATCCTGACTTGCCTGCAGGGCAAAGGCCTTTTCCATCTCGTGTTCAAAAGTTGACATGCAGATCTGAAGCACATACAGAGAGGAAGAAAGGCTTCTTGAGTGTTGGACCAGGGAGGAGTGAAGTGAGCCCTGAGCAGCTGCCAGACACAAATACCCCTGCTTCAGGCAGGCCCCAGCATACCCATAGATTCAGATACAAAGAATCTCCCTCAGGTCACTAAAAGGATTTCAAATCATCACCAGGGCCAGCCCTTTACTTTCCTAGTATGATTTGGTCACCTCCATTTTAGAGCCAAGACCACAGAGAGACACACAGTTTAGGGGACTGCTATGAGCTCACAGAGTTCAGACGGCCCGGACCCCTGGTCTCCTGGTACCTCTGGGCAATGCCCTTCCCCCTTTGAACCATGCCAACATCAGCAATGCTGACTAGTCTGTCATCTGAAATAGCAGGCTGGCAGTCCAGAGTCATAGGTAAGCAGCATCACCTCTCTCCAAAAAAAAAAAAAAAGTGGCTAAATCACCAAGGCCATATTTTCCAGCTACCATGCTTCTTCTCTGTTTCCAACTTTCACAAACAAAAAAAAAAAAAAAAAGTGGCTAAATGAATTCATTCATTCATTCACTAAGTGTGTTCTTAATATCTTTTGGGTGTTAGCACTGTGTGTCAGGGACTACTCAGACTGAGGCCCTGCCCCGGGAAGCCAAGTTTATACAGATGTGAGACAAACCAATAAGCACAATTCAAAAACCTCAACATATCGGGGTCAAGATGGAAGCTCTGATTTTAGGTCTACCCGGAAACTCAGTAGGAAGACACTGCAAAGGAAAAGACTAGGACTCTACATCTCACACAAGCTTGTGGGCACCACGACTGGTCAGACAGTCAAATTCTCAATTACCTAGGAACACATTGTCCACGGAGACCGTGTCAGGCACCAACTCAGAGTGGGGCCCTTCCCTAACAGGCCCCCAGCACCGTTTGGTCCCTCATTAGTGTCTAGCTCTAAGATGAAGTAACACTATCACTTTGTATCCCTGACTCTCTTATCCACCTTCACACCCCAGTAACCAAGCATCAAGCTGAACATGAGGCAGCCTCAACAAATGCTTGGTGAATGAATGACCTTACAGGTCCTGTCCAACACCTGGCTCCTCAGATTCTATGCTTAGGTCTCCTCAAATTCTCCAAAACCAGTCCAGCCCAGCAAGATCCCAGCCACACAGGTACGTGTGTTTATGTATGTGTGTGTGTATATGTGACACCAACACACACACACACACACAAACCCCCCTGTGCTGTTGAGCTAGATCTGTTCTCTGAATTCTGCATTGTTTTATGTTTTGGGTGCCTCTTCTTTTTTCTTTATTCTATGTAATAAAAAATTGGCAAAATTACAGCAGGTAAAAGGAACTTGAAAAGTGGGTATAAGTATGCCAGGCACTGCTGGCAAAAAGATGCACCTGTAGAACTACCCACATGTTTGTCACTTTGTGCAGTTCACATGCTTTAAAGAGAGCCCATGCAAAGGTCCACATCTTTACCTTTTCATGTGCTTTTCTTTGCTCAGGATCAAAGGGATGCAGAACTTGTAGCCTGCAGATCTCACACACCTCCCCATGCAGGTAGACGCAAGAATCTCCAAAGTGGCACTCCCCAGCAGCAGCATAGGGGCACAGCTGCTGCTCATCGCTGTAGGAGCTGCTGGCTTCTAAGCTATCAAGGCCACTCCTGATTGCTTCCAGGTAGGAGTGCGGCTTCATCTCCAGGCTGTTCTGGGGGTCACTGCAACCCCGTGGGTTACTCACCTCACATGGCCGAGCCTCATCCTCTGCCAGGCCACAGAGATCTAATGCGAACACATAGCACACACAGCAGTGAGCCCATTTTCTGGTAAGCACTGAGTTACAATCTAACAAATTAAGCACCTCTTCAGAATTTCATTCTTGGGATTAAATAACAAAACAAAAAAAAACAGGTCCAGAGGAGCAAAGAAAAGGAATGGTATATAATATTCATAATGGTGTTACTTACAATAATGAAACTGAAAAACATAAATGTCAAGATAGGGAAATAATAAAGCAGGCCATCAAATATTTATATAGAACAATACTAAAGTAGATGTTTAAAAATGGCAAAAATAGAAATGTCAACACACATACTAGTTAGCACTTTTTAAAAGTACAAAACAGGAATACTGATTATGAAAGAACGGAGGAGGATAACTGATTTCTGAATGTTTGCTTTCTGCTGGGTCCTGGGCTAAGCACATAATGTACAAGATCTCATGTCATCCTTCTAGTAATTCTATGACAAGGAGATTTTATTCCCATTTTAAGGGACCTGAAGTCCAGAAAGGCAAACACCATGCCTAAGTTTATACAGCCAGGAAGTGGGGAGATTGGGACCAGATCCATCTGTTTCCAAAGCCTGTGTTCTTTCTACTTTACGCCATTTCTCTAAGGTCATGGTAAGTCAGGGGAACATTTAAAATGAGGTCAACAGAATCCAGTAGTTTCATTTGTATCAGTAAAATTACCTAGTATTTTTAAAGTGAACTACAATAAATACATAGAGTACATCTTTGGGTTCTGGGGGGGAAAAAAAAAAAAAGCCAACTCCAACTCACTGTGCCACTGAGTCAATTCCAACTCACAGCAACCCCTGTAGGGTTTCCAAGGCAGTAAATCTTTATGGAAGTAGATTGCCCCATCGTCCTCCTGTGGAGCAGCTGGCTGGTTTGAACCACTGATCTTCTGGTTAGCAGCCACCAGAGCTCCTTTTGGGTCCTGAAGCCAGTGTTAAACTGCCCTGTAGCAACCCCCATCTCATTAACAAAGATGACTGCCTTCCCATCACACATACTCCTAAGTCTTATTAGAGGTACCATATGTGATGAGGTTGGTTCCATGTTAGTTTAGAATGGAATCTGTCTATCTTATGCTGTATAATTCCAGGAACTAGAAACCCTTTCACCTGGTGAGGACCAGCCAATAAAAACAACTTTAAAAATTTGTGGCCTTCTTTTCCCCAAACCTGGTCCAGGGTAGAGACCACACCCTGAACCCTAACATGCTATTCTATCTCCAAAGGTGCAGCCTAAAAACTAGAGTTTTTAGGAAGACTAGGAATTAACTTGGAAATCAAATGGTAAAATGTGCTCTTTGTCAACACATTTAGCCCTGGAATGACTAGTTTGGTGCTGCTCACCAATTAGACAACCACCCTATGTGTATGGCAGTTACATACTGACAAAAAGACCACTTCTCATGTTTTGCCAGGACAAACTTGAGGCTCAGCCTAGCTTTGGGCATGAGGCAGACGCAGCATCCAAACACTGTGCAGCAACATGAACCTTTCTCAGAACAGTTCTGGTATCTCCACATTTGGCAAAGTGTTAGGTTAGAAGTCCTCTTGACAAGAGACGGTCAGGAGAATTAAGAACGAGTGAAATGGGAGGAAAAAAACTACTTTCTAAAAAGAGGCAATGAAAGGATTCTGCTCACTCACTTCGATCTCTAAGTATCAATGTTCGCTTTTCACGTTTCCCAGGCTCATGTAAGCTAGTTTTCATAATAGATGCAGAGAGGTCAGGAGGAGGGTGAGGATTGTGGAAACCCAGGGAGGGCACACCGTGGGGCATGGTGCCTGCAGCACCACCCACTGCAGCAGAGGGCCTTGTGTGGTCATATCTAAACAAAGCACACGCAGATGCATTAGTGGATGTACACACACATACACCTCCCTCCATTCCCAGACACAGAGCATCCCTCCTCCTGCTCCGTTTGCTGAGGGGGACAGTGAGGCACTGGTTCCCAGTCTTTTTCTCTACAAAAGGCTTATCTATTAGTAAGAGCCTGCTGTTCCACCAGAGTACACTGCTGCCTGTCACTTACACTCAAGTGTTCCCGAGGGAACACTCCCAATCCAGTGTTCTTTTGGGCAGGAGTCCCCAAAATGTTGACGATGGCCAATGTAAGAGTCGGGAGCCGGGCCTCTCCTTGACTGTCTCTGGGGAAGGAAGGGTGAGCCAACTTCTATGATCCCTACCCAGCGTAGTGAGGGAGTGAAGCTTGCAGTCTAGGGAAGAAGGGCAGCTGTTGGTCTAAATCGCCCCGTGGCAACCACTTTCACATACCAGCGGTGACTGCCTCCTCATCACACACACTCCTGAGCCTTTATAGAGGTATGTATATGATGAGATTGATTACTTGTTAGTTTAGGATGGAATCACAAAAGCACAGGAACAGACTTTGGAATTTTTTCTGGTCTAGGAATTACAAAACCTTGCTATAGACTATATGTATATAGATGTTCACAGCAGGGATATTTGTAGCAAAAAAACCTTGGAAGCCATTTAAGTATCTAACAGAGGAATATTTAATAAAATGATGGTATATTAACATTATGAAGCATTATAAAATTACAATTAGGAGACACACTAGCAGCACAGAAGAAACCTCATGACATCAAATGGGGGGAAAAAGTAAGCTATAAAATCTTATATGTATTATATGCTGCAATTTTATAAATATATATTCATAAGAATAAAGCCTGAAAAGTAATCTTAAAGAAATTAATATTTTTAGGGTACTAAAACTGAAGTTTTAAAATTATGTGCCATAAAAAACAAAACCAAACTCACTGCCATCGAGTCATTTCTAACTCACAGCGACCCTCAATGGGTTTCTGAGGCGGTAAATCTTTATGGAAGTAGATTGCCCAGTCTTCCTTCTGTGGTGCAGCTGGTGGGAAGGTGAACCACTCACCTTCCAGGTAGCAGTCAAGTGCCTTATCCACTACACCACCAGAGCTCCTACTTTTGGCAATATCGTCATGTTACTTTTAAATTAAAAATTTCCCCTCAGCAGAACCCACACTTCAAATGAAGGATCTGATTTTTAATAGCACTGAACTCAGGGTACAAGTTGGGGATAGGGAGACATTCTTGCCTGCAACGCGTTCCATAGGCGCAACAGCCCTTTTGATAGTATTTGCAGATGGTGGAGGGCTTGCTGTTTGCCAAGTCATGTGAGAATAGGCACTGGTTCCCTTCCCGACACACGCCGTGCATAAAATACCTGCAGACAAGCAGAGGCATAAAACTTTTAGAAGCACACTTTGCTTTATAAAATCACCATAGTCTTGAACCTAGGATACAAAATATTTATTAAATACATATTACATGGGCGGTGCAGTGAATTACTTGGTATGGCTTTTCTAGCCACGGTCTTTTTAACTTCTATCAGATTACTGGGTGGAACCATGCAAATAAGGTCTGTAGAACTCTGATTTTGGGATTGGTTAGTTTTATCACTCTGGTAGCATAGTGCCTAAGGCATTTGACTGCTAACCAGAAGGCTGGAGGTTCAAACCCACCAGCCACTCCTCGGAAGGAAGATTGGGCAATCTGCTTCCGTAGTGATACCGCCTCGAAATCCAAAGAGGGGTTGCTATGAGTTGGATCCGACTCGATGGCAGTGAGTTTGGTTTTTTGTTTTAGAGGCAGAGATCTCAGTGCCATCAAGAGTGAAGAGCTGGATTAGGGGACAAGATGGCGGACTAGGCAGAAGGATTGCACAGACCCTCTTCAACAAAGAAAAGGGAAACCAATAAATACAGACACAGAAGATAATCTTG